TGGGGTTCTGTGATTTTCTGAAAGCCAGGGTCAGAGGCAAACAACATGTACAAACTGGGTAAGGTGCATCAGCCTTTTAACAGCTATGTGCACTCTGAGCATTGTGCCTTGGAACATGAACTGCATCATGGAATCTGCACCCCACCTGTTGTGAACGTGACCCATGTACTTACAGACCTTCTCACACCTCTATAATCCAGAGGTGCACCTGAGACTAGCATTTAACGCAGGAATTGTCTATGGTAATAGATAATGGAAGTGAAACCCATTGCAAAGTTGGGTGGAAAGCTTCATGAGCCCGCACTGTCGATCCTGTGTTTTGTGAGAAGGTAGGACCAGTAATTCCCTCTTTTTTTTTTGCAAAAGACATCAGCCTGAAGGTATTTTCATCGCTTCTTGGCAGATCCTAGGTGGACTGCATAATAAGAAATGCCTTTTTGTGCTTGTTTTCCTCCCACTGAAGTCCATTTTCTGTGAGCACCGTCTGAAGTAATTTAAGCTTTTTAATTGTTTATGATATCTGGCACTTCCAGTGACTGCAAATGTTTCTGTAGCCGTGAAAGACAATTATTATTAAGCACCAGAAACAAATGCTGCCATGCTACTTGCTGTTAATGCTCAGAAAGACCTGCCAAATCTTGCAGATTTGTGCGTGCTATAGAGGTGGAAAGGCAAGAAGCTTGCAGAGCTAATAACAGAAACAGCCTTGTGACAAGGAGCCTCATCATTGTAACTCCATGATGACAGCTTCAAAACGTGATGAAATCCGTATTTCTGTGTGTTCCTGTGGGGTTTGAATCAGTTCTTACAAATCAAAGTTGCAAAGAAATCTGGATGTTTTTGCCTAAGACCAAAAGATCCTTTCCAGTTCAGATGCAGACAGGCCTTTTTTAGCATCTGACAGGGTAAGGTTTTCAGTATCTTTTTTGTTTTGAGTTAAGCACCCCCTGATTGTTAGGTCTGTCTCATGCAGTTGCGGCACAATGGTTACATTTACAATCAGTTAATAAGACCACAGTACAGTTGCTAATACATTACTTCCTCTCCCTTCTCTTGGTTGCACCTTCCTGGGAGCATGCAGAGTGTTGAAGAACATGACTCGCTATGATTCAACGGGCAGCATCCTTCTAGTGTCATTTGTGGGCGACCGCCAGTTGAGAGGCAGTGAAACCCATCAGCTGCCTGTTCATTCCAAGAGTAACTAGAGAGAGTGGACTTCTCCATTCCCCGTGTGCAGTGGTCTTCCCTGTTGTACCAAACCAACACGCCATTTTTAGTTGTTTCATTCAAACCTGGGCAAGTTCCAAAGTGACTACATCAAATCTACGGGTACTACACAGTAATGGCACATTGGTCCTGCCTCTCCCTATGGACAAGTGAAGGGTGTAGCGAGTGTAAGCCTTTGTCTGAAATAGGTCAGCAGCCTGCTCAGCTATTTAAGGCTTAGATCTTCAAGCCTGTATTGTCTTGTCTTCTGATGGTTTTTCCCTCTGGCACTTGTGTCACTTGCATTGGGAATGTTTCCTTAGTAGTGAGTGAGGCGGCAGTTCCAGATTTAGGCTATGGAATTATTTAGGGTTGCCTAGGGATGCCTGAGGAGGCCATAAGAACAAAACTTCCCTGTGTGAGGTTACTACGAATGTGATTGCAGCCTCCCACTATTTTTAACTCCTCAGCAGGATATAGAATATCAGTTTTGTCTGTTTAGTAGCCCTCCATGGCTTTCTTGACCAAGTATTTGCTCGGTCTGTTGAATCTGCGTGCACTTTTTGCATTCAGACCACCCTTTATTAATGTTAGTATCTTTCAGATGTCTAATATGCTCAGAACTTGTCTTTGGTTTTTATGAGACTCTTCCTGCTATCATCTGATGCTGTGCTTTTGATAGTGGGTAAGACACTGTATAATCAATCCCTGCCTGCCCCTGTTCATGCCGTGTCTGATTTCATACACCCCTGACATACTCTTCGTGCTCCCACTCCCATCTCTGTGTAAAGGAAGCGGGCACTTAAGTTACTATCTCTATACTTGCATCTGGTATGATGAGATAGTGCTGTTACAGAGCATGTCAGCCTTTTATCTTGTTGCAAGGCACTCTTCAGCTTTAATGGCCAACTTAGCACAGGTTCTCTGAACTGCCTTCATGACTTCTCTTCCGTATAAGAAATGAAACCTATTTTCCTTTGTACTCTCACTCTTGTGGGAGCAGTTGTATGTACATCAGCACAACTACCACATTTTCTGGTACCTTAGGTGCTGCGGAAGCTGTTTAACCACTTAACTGCTTTTTCCTCAGCAATTGTAAGAAAACAGTCCATTTAAAACAGTTACTTGTGTATTTATTTAGAAGGACTCACATTTAACCTTAAAAAACAACAAACAGACAAAAATCCAAAATGCAGTTCTGTGAAGTATTTCCAGTTACTGCTGAGCTTTGCATAGGTCTAGCACTTCTGCTTGCTACATAAATATGGAGCTGTCTTGAGAGTATATGGCACTGGGGAGCTTGCAAAAGAGGAGACCAGTGGCAGCCTTGCCTGGTCTTCCCAAAGGTAAGCTGCTCGCTGACCGGTGTTTGTCCAGTGTCTTAGGAGCTGGTTAAAAGAAGCCAACCCAAGAGTTGGAGGCTGTGTCCCCTGGCAAATGTGCAAGGGTTTGAGCTGCAATGCACCTGAATATATACCTGTCAAAAGACGTCAAGCAGGGTGGGAGGTCTGAGGATCGCGCGTGTGCGTTCACACGGGCGGTTGCTTCAGTGGTGTATTCGCCTTGTAGCTGGCATGCATGTGGAAAAAGGCAATGAGGGGTCTCATTAGCATGGTAGCAGTTACCCATCGCAAAGGCACCTTCCTGGTTCTATTCCGATCTGATCTCCTGAAGGTGGAGAAGTGGCCGTGAGGCTGACCGCCACACAGTGAGAGAGCTGAAGGCCGCTCTCCACAGCTTAGCATCAGCAGGGCTCATCTAGGCAGTGCAGTGGAAAGCAGCAGGGCAATAGGGCGATGAGCACCACTTACAACTTACCTCTCAGTGTCCGCCTTTGTACGCGGACAAGTAGTAAATGTGCTTTTTCTGTGCTCCACGGAGACCGTGCCACCTGCGGGATGAAATGCAGTGGCTAGTACGAGTATGGGCTGAGCTAGCCATGAGTTAGTGCTTGAGACTTGTTCCGTTGCCCCCTCACCTGCGTGGTGCTATAGCAGGGGCAGCTTCTGTGCAATAACTTGCCCGTTTGTGTTACAAAAGCCAGTCATGACATAGGGAGAGGTACTGCAGTGGGACCGGACTGGTAGTGCCTTCCCTGATGAGCCCTGTGAGGGTGACTTCTGAGCATTTAAAGAAGACACAGTCTAGATCCATAGGTCAGTGGGAGGTGTCCCTGCTTGTGGCAGAGGTTTGGAACTAGATGACCTTTAAGGTCCATTCCAACCCAACCCATTCTGTGGTTCTCCCTTCCCCGTGAGTAAGTGCTATTCTTTCATTTCTAAGGATTATGCTGCTTTCTACTGAGCTCACTGCAGGCTGAGTTTCCTGGGGGAATAAGAAAGAAAGCCTCTCAACTACCCTGTTTTCTTATTTCACATTTAGTTTCCTAATTGCAGCCTGGGAATAAAATATCCTTCCTGCTAATTCTGTTCTTTTGTATTTGGGAAATGCTGCCAAGTCTGACAACTTCTTCCTTCCAAAGACACAGCGTTAAGATGTTTATTCCCTGCTTCACAATGACAAATCTGTCAAGAAGCATTGGAGTCTGGAGAAACATGTGTTTTGTGTGTGCCAGTGAAGCAGTGCTTATTATGTTCAGTATAATGTAAATGGGTCTGCGATAGAGGGATGGCTTTATTTACACATCTCCTAATAACTGTTTGAAGCTGAAAGTTATTTCTGCACTGCAGTGTAAGGACATGGAGTGGATTTTCCCAAAAGCAGCTGAAGAGATTAAATAGCACTGCTCAGTAGAAGCAGGGGGTTACATCTGTTATACTCTATTGACAACTTCAGGTTAGGGGACCTCCTGTTTTCAAACCAGGCTACTTACTGGTTCTCCTTTAATACCACAGTGGAGTTCTTTGGCTTGGAAGATGCCGACACCACTGTCAAACACAGGGTGAAGGCAATGTGTTTTCATCTGCTCCAGGGAAGAAACGTTGCCTGGCTGCACTTTGGGCGTGTATGGGGCACTTATGTCAGTACCATGAGACCCTTGGGCTGCTCTCAGAGCGATTGCTTCTACAGGCTCAGGAAGATGTAATTAGGAGGTGGACAGAAAACTGACTGATGTTTCTTTGTGCAAAAATGCCCCCTTTTCCATAGAAATAAAGAAATAAATCAAGACACGAAGCTCTTCAAGCTTCTGCAGTAGTCAAGCCTTGAACAGGTCTCACAGAACCCATTCCTCTGCTGTGGGATTGACTTGAGCTTTGCCTCCTCCCTACACCCCAACTTGCTTCTAGAAGGGGGCGTGGGAAGGAAGAAGGGCAAGAAGCACTTTGCAAACTGCTGTTAGAATCTCTGCTGTACTGGCCTCATTATGGGTCAAGCTGTACTAAAATAGTATCAGAACCTTTTGCATGGCATGGCATGGTAAATGGCATCGCTCTGGGATGAGACTGATGTAAGACAGGAGAATGGCTCTTTGTAGTAAGAGAAACTTGGTGCTAAATTATCGAGTCACGAAAACAAATGTAAGAAGTCACTTTTAACGCAAAACAGAACAACTTCCTGGTTTCATTTTATTTCCAATGGTGCTGCCTTGCTGACCGCTCACAACTGCAGAAATCTCGTTCTGCTTTCTTTTCTCCCTGGTGATATGAAACAGATGGTGTATGCTCTTAAATAAGGAAAGACACACGAAAAGACACTTGAAAATGTTGCTGTAAACGTGCAGAGATTGTGCATTTGTCAGTTAAAGTGAATTCTCTCCAATAACTCTTTCTCTGCTTCTACCCCTCAACAAATGTGCAGTTAACCACAGAGTTGAAATCTCCTTTCCCCTGTAGATCGTGTTCCGGAAGATCAGCGACGTCAAACGCGAAGAGGAGGAGAGAATGAAGAGGAAGAACGAGGCGCCCCTGATCTTACCCCCGGACCACCCTGTCCGCCGCCTCTTCCAGAGGTTCAGGCAGCAGAAGGAAGCGCGGCTCGCAGCAGAGAGGGGCCGGGAGCCGGATGAGCTGGACGTGGAGAAGGGGAACGTTCTCGGGGAGCACTCCTCGGCGCGCTCGGTGGTCAAAGCCAGCGTCGTGACTGTCCGGGAGAGCCCGGCGACCCCCGTGGCCTACCAGTCCGCTTCCACGTCTGGGGCCTCTGACCAGGCGAAGCTGCAGGCCCCGACGTCGGACTACGCGGGATGTAAAGTGTCCGGGGACTTCCCCCGACGGAAAGGCTGGGCCAAGTTCAAAGACGCCTGTGGGAAAGGTGAAGACTGGAACAAGGTGTCTAAAGCAGAGTCCATGGAGACTTTACCGGAGAGAACTAAAGCTTCGGGAGAAGCTACCCTGAAGAAGACAGACTCTTGTGATAGCGGCATTACAAAAAGCGACTTGCGCTTGGATAACGTCGGGGAGACGAGAAGCCCGCAGGACCGCAGCCCGGTCCTCACCGAGGTCAAGCATTCCTTCTACCCCATCCCAGAACAGACTCTTCAGGCCACCATGCTAGAAGTGAAACACGAGTTGAAAGAGGACATCAAGGCTTTAAACACAAAAATGACCAATATAGAAAAACAGCTCGCTGAGATCCTTAGGATATTAACCTCAAGAAGAAGCTCCCAGTCGCCACAGGAGTTGTTTGAAACATCAAGGCCCCAGTCTCCAGAATCAGAAAAAGACATGTTTGGAGCTAGCTGAGGTGTTTGTTTGTTTTAAACACAAACAAAACCCCAACAAGCAAAGAAACAGCCCCCTAACATTTTAAATGTAACCCTTCTTGAAACCGAGTGAGGGACCAGTTCGCTAAAGCATGTTCCCCGTGTCCAAAAAGGTACGGTACCAGGAATTGCAACCTCATGTCAAGATGGCAGCTGACTCTGAAGCCTTTTTGACAGCAAGGGTACAGTTTCTAAAGTTTCTTTTCTCCCTTGGTGCCCATTTCCCTCCCCAGTTCCTCTCTTTCCCTCGGGATGTTGGAATAAGAATTCTGACAGCAGCAGCAGTTGTCCCCATGGGCCCCAGGTGACCTCTGAGGGTTTTGAAGCATGCCTTACATCGCCTGCTTGGGTTTTGCCTGTGTGAATAAGCACTTGCCAGGGTGCTTGTGTTGTCAGCATCTGGTGGGGTTGTTCCTGCTGCTGCTGTCGCTGTCTCGGTCACCTGTACAGCATGGTCAGTGTCACAGTGTATTTTCATGTATCTCCGATAACACAAAGAGCAGTGGATGTGTGTTATTTCTTTCCAGTGGAAGAAGTGCTACTCGGCACCCAAATTATTTTGGGTAGCCAAGGAAGCGCCAAAAAGAGGAAAAAAAAAGTGCTTCTTCACTGCAAACTGACATAGTGCTATAAAGCGACTACATTTAACAACAATCTCGACAATAGCCACGCTGCTTCAGGTCTGTTACTAAATGGGACCTTCCACGTGCTCATGTAATGAGTCAAGGATACTGAGTCTCCCAAACCCGCCTTCTGTCTCAGATGTCTTTGAGTATTTGTTACCTTTGCTTTGAACTCCTGCCATTGGGTGTGCAGTGAGTGCACTGCACCACGGGTTGGGAACATCACTAACATTGGCCTCGCCATGAAAATATACTGTGCCGTTTCTGTCCCGCTGTTGCTATGATCTGCTCTTTTAATTCTTGTTACATTATTCTTCTTCAGAAGTTCCTGTTTTAGTAATGTTCATTGTAGCCAAAGGCTCTCACAGAACTTTTAACGATTTTAGATTGTGGCATTTTCCTCTACATCCAGATGGAATGTTCCTGATCTATTCCAGCTAGCTAGTACACAAATGGATAGTAGAGGCAGAAATACAGTGCTTACTGTATGCAAGTGCTATTGTAGCAAGGAAACAAAAAGATCTGCTTCTTAAAGAAGGAGATGATGTTTCCAAAACTTGTATTTTCGTAACTTTTTTGGGGGGAAGATTGAAGCACTTTACCAAAACTCTTTGTTGTTATTCATGAGATAGCTAGGGTAGCATAGCTGGTATCATGGCTTGGGTTAGCACCTTGGGATACAGGTGTACCCTCCCAGTATATTCTCTCCACTGACCCAGTATGCTCACTACTTACTTAGCAGTAGGGTAGAGCTCAGAAGCAATGCTTTCTGGGGGTTTCATTTCTAAAGTCAATAGGCCTTACCCTGGTGTGGGAGTAGTGAAATCTTTCTGCATCGTACTAATAAGTCAGTCACAAAACCCACATGATTCTGGGGGCAAGGTTTTTGTTCACGTTAAGAAGTAAGGAGGAGGCAAGGGAAGGATTTCTGCTGGGTTGATGCTTGCACAGTGCAGTGCAGAACTGTGCCAGACATCCCTGGGGAAGCGTGAGGTCCTCTCATGCCCTACACCAGCGGGGAGGACGTGCTGTGCAGAGCCACCAGCTCAGGTCCTGGTCTCTGTTTCTGCGGTAACAGTGCTTGCTTGCAGATGCCGATGATCCCAAGCACAGCATCACCATTTCTGGGTCTAGATGCAGCTAGTTTAGGCTTTGAAGGGTCTTAACCTTGTTTCCATAGAGAAGCATCCAGAGGTTGTGGAAGTGTTGGAACAAGTCCAGAGGAGGCCACGAGGATGATCAGGGGACTGGAGTACCTCCAGTATGAAGATAGGGTGAGAAAGTTGGGCCTCTTCTGCCTGGAGACCTCAGAGCAGCTTTCAGTATCTGAAGGGGGCCTATAGGGACCCTGGGGAGGGACTCTTCAGTAGGAACTGTAGTGACAGGACAAGGGGTAACGGGTTCAAACTGAAACGGGAAGTTTAGACTGGATCTAAGGAGGAAATTCTTTCCTGTTAGGGTGGTGAGGCACTGGAATGGGTTGCCCAGGGAAGCTGTGAATGCTCCATCCCTGGCAGTGTTCAAGACCAGGTTGGACGAGGCCTTGGGTGATGCGGTTTAGTGTGAGGTGTCCCTGCCCATGGCAGGGGGGTTGGAACTTGATGATCTTAAGGTCCTTTCCAACCCTAACTATTCTATGATTCTAAGGACTGAAATATTCCCGACAGCTATCAGGGTGAGAGCTGGAGGCTACCTTTTCCCTCCCACAAGAGAAGGCAGCATGGAGGTTCCTTGCTCTGGAACCAAGGTGCCATTTCCTTAATTTACTTCTTGTTCTATGTTTAGGTTTTTCCAGTGGTAACTGGTGTCTTTTGCAGTTACACACTGCAGACATGCAGGACAGAGGAAGGCTCTCTGACCAAAAGCACGCCCAGCGTTTGGTGCTTCAGTCGCTGCGAGTGGCCACAGTGTCATGTAACAGCTATGGGGGGATTGCCCCAGGAAGTCCATATGTAATGGTTTCAGTCAGAAACTGCTGAGGGATTGTTTTTCTTTCTAGTCTCCTCAGGCTGGAAATGGACTGGGTAATGAAATTGTGCCCTGTTTCACTTGTGTATTGATATACGAGGATAACTGATGCCCAAAGTTCCAGCAAGATTTTAGAGACTGGCTTGGAGCCAGTTTCCTAATCCAGACAAATGCCTCATCAGCATCATGTTCCTGACATTAGGTTTTCCTCATAAAATCTTTGCCAGGCTGAAAGCCTTGCTGAACTTGGCAGGCGCTTTGTGAAGGTGCCACCCAGTTACCTGCAGTTGGTTAAACATGGGCATGAGCTTAGCCCAGGTGGATGAAGGAGAAAATGTTTATAAGCTCCAAAGTATGCACCTAGTATCTCCAGCATCGCGGTGCAGACATGGAACTACACGTGGTTACCCGGCCCTTTGTTGCTCATACCGAGCTGATGGTTCTCAGTGGTATTTTTATGTGCCCTCAGGGATCTGTTAAAGGTGATGCTGGAGTTGCTGGTTGCCCAGGTCTGGAGTCAAGGCAGGGCCAGCCCTGGAGGCCCCACAACTAGCCACAGGTGTGAATAGGGGTGGATAAGTCCACATTTGATGGAAGTGCTTGTCCTGTAGCCTGATGTTCAGTACAACACGATACCTTGCACACCCTTACGACAGCGGGTGGGTGCAGCACAGAGTCCTTTTTTAAGGCTTTTATGGCACTTATGTAATAAAAGCCATTTATCATCAATTTATAAAGCCTTCAAAGATCGTAATAACACACTCTGGAACTACACTTAAAACCTGATGTGTTTAAAGATTATGGCCAACTGTGATTTTGTTACGGTCATGAAACTGCAGAGAAACTCTGCTCCTTGCAGTGACACCTTTAGGGTGGCTGCTGCAGGCCAGTGCTGACAGCGGGCCATGTCATGTAGATTTGCACAGCTGCAGCTGGGATTAGACCCATTTTATGATGATGATTTTATGAACCGGCAGGCAATAAAACTCGTCGTAGGAGCCTGCATCTACCCTCAGTAAGGTGTCTGAGCTGTAAGAGAACGTGACCAAAATACACTATCTATCTAGGATGAGCTTTGGTCTTAGGATCCCCTGGGCTGTTCAGTGGTTAAATGGGCAAATCCTTGCCTGCTATGGGACTAGTCAGGGACTAGTCACTCCTTTGAAGTCATCTGCCCCTGTGCTGTGGTGTCCAGGCTCTCCTTCAGAGAGTGGCTAAAAGCACCTGTGTTACAGATCTGTCTTTCTCCATTGAGCCTTACACTGAGATGCCTATGGCTGGATAGTGTGAATACCCACTCTCATTGCTACTTGTTCTTACTCGTCAGCTTTTCCTTTTTCTCTTGTTTCTCTCTATGTGTTGGCCAAGCCCTTTCACTTACTTACATTATTTTCCAGTTTAGAAGTGAATGATCTCCTCTGAACATAAGGCTTCTGCCCCTTAACAAACGTATGTCCTATAAGAAAAAGGAGAAAACACACAGCTTGAGCTTTACCTGCGTTCTGGCACAGTGCTTCTGCCATGTAACAAGCTGCATTGATCAAAAAGAGATGGTGCACTCCATTTTTGCTAGGCAGTGGAATTAGGTTTCAGCTGAGAGGAAGAGCCTGGGTTATGATTTGGTAAAATGGGAACTTCTAAAAGTTCATGTTGAAACTGTTAGAAAGCAAACGGGTAAATTTTCAGCACAGGATTAAAACAGCAAACCCGCCCTTTCCCCCACCATGCTGAGCTGCGTTGACTTCTGTGTGTTGCTGTGCGCGTATTACTTGTTTAAACATCATTCTTGCTTTAAATCTCTTTCACAGTGCTGCCCTGACTCCCAGCGAACACCCTGTTTAACAGCTTCGAAGGTGATGTTCTGTTTCTACAGTACTTCACTTTAATGAACCGAACAAGCGATTTACTGTGAATATTAGGTGACATACTTTCAATCACTCTTAAACAGTCTGTGAAAGAATTTAATACCTAATTTGTCTTTACTATATAAACAACAACGTGTAGGATGACACTTGTGCAGATGCGTGTACATACACACATATATATAGTATCTATGTATAGATAAGTCTATGGACTGCGTTTCCGTTAAGTAAAAGCACATCCCTCATTTAATGATTCCAGTACAAGAAGGGAGCTTCTTTCTTCCAAAAGGCATCCAGCACATGTCCTAGCTAGTATCTTGTCTGTTAACTGTTGGACTTTTAAGGCCATGACTTAGGGTTTCTCCAGTTGAACAGTGTGACTGAGAGAAGATGTGGCAAGCGTTGCGATAGTCAGGGAACAGGAATACGTGTGAAGTTGGAAGAGCACCGTATCATAGCCGCTGGGAATAAGGCTCATAAAGCCACTCTTTGTTGCTCACGGTATCTCTGAAGCTAAGCCGCCCTGGTAGTGTTTCTCGTGGCTTCTCCTACAAGAGAGGGGGTGGAATAAATGGATTGCATTTTTCTGGTACCAGGGCGTGTCTCTGCAGTGCTGAGCTTGTCCTCCTTCCTACGGGCAGCAGAACATGGTTGCTGCACCTCTGCTTTCTTGTCCTGGTGTTAGGTGATGAAAAGCGTCTCCTGCTGATCTCTTCATCTCCAACGTGGTCTCCTGTGGGTGTGCTGGCTATAACAAAGTCTGTGTTTCAGCTGCACTTCCGATTCCTGACGACAAACCTTTTAGAGAGAGGCCTGTGCAGGGGGAGCTCCAGAAATCTGAGGTGAGGCCCTGGAGGATGCTGTATCCTCCAAGCTGACGTTGTTTAAACCACACTGCTGGGGCAAGCATTGATTCAATTAAATACAAATAAAGCTTTTTGCAATAAGATATATCCAACATTTAGCCTTAAGATCCTTTCATAAGTGTCATAATTCAAACTGTGATTCCATTCTCCTTCCTTATTAATGTTCTGTATTACTTACAGTGTTGCCTAAAGATCACTTTGCTGAGCTTTCTAAATATTATGGAAATCACGTGCTGGTAACCACGTTTCTTTCTCCACTTACTGCCTTCTTATTAGGATAATGAATTACCCCAGTAGCCCTCAACCCCTCACAAAACCAAGGAGACATTAACTGTTGTCTGAGCACTTCTGCCTATGAGGGAGCCAACCTGTCACAGAGCAGAAGGGTTAGGTTCAAAGATGTTGTTTTACAGTTTGACCAAGATAATGCGAATTTCCCTGCGACTGTCCTTTGGTTCTAGCCGCCTGTTGAGTGTAGTGTAAGCCTGTTTGACTGATGTGTAATCTCAGCCCATCTCTGTAACCGAATCTAAATGCCTCATGTTAACCAAACCGCTTGGGGTTGTCACTCTCTGTTGTGAAAGGCTCATGGCTTTGTTTTCTCTTTCCCACGGAATCTGTGACCACTACCACAGGAAAAGAATCATTTTAGCTGTTAGATGAAAGAAGTTCAATAATCTTTTATCAGGATGAACTGCTATATAAAAAACTACCAAGTTTTCTAATGAATGTGTTATATTACTGTACCTACATGCAATCGATATTTGTACATCTGTTGGAGACCTGTCTGCGTCGCAGTATTTAGCCACCACTGCATGGACACTATCGGTATGCAGTTAATGCAGTTGCTTTGGCGCTTTTCGATGTACTTCACCTGGGTTTATCCTTTCAGAAATGCACCAAATACTCCTGGTTCTTTTCCTTTGCATTTGTCACTTTGTTCAATGAAGCATGGCAAGAAAACCAGAATGAGGAGATACTATTTTTGTGGTCAGCAAAGCAGCTGCCGGTAGCAAGACAGTGTGTGTCTGGCTGGAGGTATCCACACTGTCCAAGAAAGAATGTTTCAGTTACTGATGCAGCCACCTCCATTAGTGAGAGCCCTATTCAACATTTCTAAAGAAGCACAAATAATATTTGTAAAGAAAAGTTTAATTTTATTTATTAAAGTAATAAAATATTTTATACATTAGCGTTGCTTTTGTGTGCTTTCTGAGTGTTGAATATGTGTTTCTGAGATCAACAAGGGGGGGATAAGTCAGCAGAGGTTTGCTGTTACGGGTTTGGTTGTAACCAGTTGAGTTTGGTGTCT